TTAATTAACTTATAAAAAAAATGAGTAATTAATTAATAATTATTATAATTGTTTTTGATAAAAATGACTAATGATAATTATCTCAATTTTTTTATCTTATAATTATCTCAATTAATTTCACTATTAAATGTTATTATGATTAATGGTAAATAAATAAAATAAAAATTTATTAGATTTCATTATAATGTAAGGGTAATTTTGTCTATATAAATAAATTTTTTTGTCTAATCTTACTTTAATCCAATAATCAACCAAACATTACCTAGGACTTTAATATATAATATCATATTTAATCTACTCCAATCTTATCCTTAAATTTTATCCAATCCAATCCAATCCAATCTTCTATTCCAAACAAACACTTAATCTCTTATTATTAGCATTTGCTTTTTAATTAGTTTTACAATGAAGTTAAAATTTTTTAATGAATCCGGTATGACTTAAGAGAAAACTAGTAATTTTATGGTTGTTGTCAATACGGAATTTAAACAAGTTTCACTATGTTTCCTACTCTTATTTTGAATAAAAGATAGCATGTCTTTAATAGGGGAAAAAAAAGGGAAAGAATAAATTAAGTACCTTCTCACTGAAAAGTGGAACATGACTCGAGCTTGTATCATATTCATGGCAGAAGCTAATGAACTTCGGTAGATTTTGTAGTCTCAAGGACAGCAAATGGGCAAGCTTAACCATTTGATCAGTTGCTTCAACAATATCCCCAAAATCCTCTTTCCCTTCTTCATCAACAATATTTACCATGTTTCTACAATCTGTTACTCCAATTTCTTGGAGTTGGAAAAGCTGTCTAGCTGTTGAGAATGAGAACAACATCTTCAGCTGATTACAACATTCAACATTTATTACTTTTAACCTGCAAAAAGATGTTCTGAGCTGGTCAGAACATATCTTCTCCAAATTAACCAAACTGCAAATATATAACACTTACAAAGTTGGAAATGCATTGCAAAGCCCCGCTGAGTCCATGATGATGCCTTGAATATCTGAAGCATTGCGAATATGAAGATACTTCAGTTTTTGAAAACCTTCACTAGCTAACCCATAGAGTATGTGTTTGACACCCTTCAACTCCTCTAGATGTAGCTCTTCAGACATCTTCAGCAACTGTTTAAGTGAAGAATCAGAACTTATGGATGCCCTCAGCCGCAGCTTCAATATTCTTGAGCTTTCAGCAGAACTATCCCATTTGTTCCAAGCATCTCCAATGAGTATCTTGTATCTTTCAAGCTTTTCAAAAGACAAGTCTTCTGGGATCATCTTAACATCAGGAATACGTATCTCCAAAGCAGTCAATTTCTTCAATTGCTTCAACTCAGCAAGGCTAGCATTTCGTTGACTTTCATGCTCATCATGCTCCCATCTGTTGAAGCTGTTTTCCAGGTACAGTTCTTCTAATCTGGACATACTCGCCAAGACACGCGGCTGGATAACTTTAAGTTTACTGCAGCCACTCAAATCTAACAACTTTAACCGAGTCAACTGTCCAATTTCCCTTGGTAGCATTTTAATATCAGACCTCAAAAGGCTTAGAACTTCTAAATTCTTCAGCTCTCCAATAATGCTTATGTCTCCTAATACGCCTCCATCCAAGCATAATGTGCGGAGGTTCCTTAGGAGGGAAATTGATGAAGGTAGGGATGAAATTTGCATACGAGTCAAGTCCAATACCCTGAGTCTTTGCGTTCCATTGAAGAAGTTTGCTGGAATTTCCAGAGAAGGATACTTGTTATACAAATAAAACAAAGTAAGCTGAGGACTCTCTAACACATCAGGAAGCTCATTCATATTAGGATATTCCAGACGTATCCATTTGAGATCATTAAGTGCTTTCTCATCTGAACACTCATTTAGTAAACGATCACCTGCTAAGAGCAATGCATGACAATCCCTGTCGGCTATTGATAAAGCTACAGCACGAATAACGTCATGAACAACAACGCGCCCTCCGTCAGAACCATCAAGCAACAAAGAAGAAGCTTTCAGATCACTTATCAATGTTAATAAATCATTCCGAGCTCCCTCTATTGTACTAGCTTGTGAGAACCAGCCTAGTCCTACACCATACTTCAACAAGTCTTGAATAAAACTGTTGTGACCCAGCAAACTAGAAAGTAAGAAAGTTCGCTTGAGCTCCTCACTTCCCAAGTGATTGTAACTCACCTCGATAGCAGTATAAACTTTTGCATGTATCCCCTCGAAGTTGCTTGGAGAGGGACTTTTCATCCTTTGTAGAGCACTCTTCCATTCAGGCAAAGTCTTATTTTTCAAAGCTTTTGCAAGTGTTGCAATAGCAAGGGGTAATCCCTTACATTCTGTGGCAATCCCAAAGCCTGTAGGCTGCAACTCGCTACTTTCAGCCCTATCACCAACTATCTTCTTGAACATTTGCCACGCTTCTTGATCTCCCAATTGGTTAATTACAATCTCCTTTTGAGTGCCCATTTCAATTGACAGGACATTAAGATCTCTAGATGACAATAAGATCTTGCATTCCATTTGTTGATCTTTTGTGGATGATGAACCAGTTTCAACATTGATTTTCTGCTGGTCTTCGAAGGGAATACCAAGTGCCTTCAAATCTAGTTTGTCCCAAATATCATCCAAAATCACGAGAACCTTCCTCTCTTTCAAAATTTTTGCTCTAAGCCGATCGGCAACACGCGGATCGGCAACACTCGGATCTCCAATCCCAAAAGAAAGCTCTACACCCAAGCCAAATGCTAAGCCATCTTGAATTATTCTGTAGTCTGGATTCTTCTTTGCTACAGAAACCATAACTACTGCATTAAACAACTTCTCTTGCTCAGCTTTTCTTTTAACTTCTTTGAGCAGCATCGTCTTCCCTACACCTGGCATCCCATGCAGTCCTATTATGTTGATGTTTGGACTCTGTAATGCCTTCATGATCTCATCCAATTCACCCGTTCTTGACTCAAACTCCTGAAAATCCTTGACAGGTGCAGCCACTACCCGCTGTGGAATAACAGGGTAGGAAGTTCGAAGATTGAATCCAGGAACTTTTTGCACATGCTTAGCAATCTTCTGGGAATCCTCTTCCGCCCTCTTGCTGAGTTTGTAACGAGACAGGGGATTAAGACACATCCCAAAGAAACACTTCTTCTTTGCTTTTTCTTCATCATCCTCTATTGTGTTTGCCGCTTCAATGAACTTGCGTGCTTCATCCAGCCAAGTCTCGAGCTTCTTTACAGGACCTTCCACTCTTCCTTCAGCAGCTTGAGTCTCTTGCGCCACGTGGCCTATTTCTTCCTTGAGCTTAGCAACTTGTTCCTTCAGATTATCAACATTCGACTTCATCTTGAAGACAAGAATGATCGGATTTCGCTGCAAAATCCGATCGATCCGGTTCCCAACAACAGTTCCAAGAGCATTTTGAACAAAAGGAACACAAAAGGCCTCGGCCATCTTCGATTCCACCCTCCCCCTTTTTTTTCTTTTTTGCTTTTTTGGAGATTTTAGAAATAAATATGAACAAAAAACAAGGTAACAAAAGTAGAGAGAAGCAAATCAAATGGTGAAAAAACAGAGGAAGTGAAGAATGATTTGTTTGAGA